AAATTCCAAAGGTAAAATATTTATCGACTCTGACTTAGCCGGCTAAGCCGAATTTTAAATATCGACTTAGTCAAGTCAATAAATAAGGATCGACTACAAACACTATGTGAGAGTAAGGAAGAAGAGATCCTTATGCAATTTTTTGACACGCCTATTGTTTTGACATAAACGCGCATGAAAGATGTACCAATCAGATCTCTTCTAATAATCGATGCTGTTCCATGGATTAGATGTAACGTGAAATTCACGTTTTTGTCTTACTGCGCACTATTTTATGAAATTTTTGATATAAGGTTTTATTACTTTAAAAGTATTTTGCATCTTCACGATCAAAACTGGAGATTGGAACTGGGTAACCGGTCAAAACGGGTGATTCGAGTCTAAAATTTCTAACCGGTTGTCTATTAGTTTTTTGATTTTTTTAGACGTTATCAAATGCCCCGTAATTAAGAATTTTGCCAATTTTATGTTGCAGATAATCATACCGATTATTAAAAAATTAACGTGCGTAAATAAAGTACACACAATTTTGCATCCGGGTCCAACCTTTACCAAGCATACTAATTTGAAGCTAAGATTTTGTTTGACGTACAATTCGAAAATTTTTCATTTCTACAATATTGGAGAAATTAAAATTTTGCTAATAGTAAAACCTTATCAAATTATTACTAATTCAAAATTTACTCCAATATAATATAATTCTTTGTCTGTTTAAAAAAAAAAATTGACTTGTGTTTGCATAACTTTTATTAATGCGAAGTAACTTTAGGGTAAAATGGCGGGCCGATGGATCGCAACAATATGACAGTGTTACTCGAGAGGGTATTTGTGTCAGAATCGAATGTTTTTTACATAATTCGATTTGTCTGGTGAGATGAATCTGATGGTATAAGAATAATTAGATTACAATCGATAGACTAAGCGTTATTTTCAATATGATTTGATCCCGACATCCTGAATGATCAAAATCTCTAATTTATATGTACTTCAGAGTAACCCCCTTTACCTTATAGAAAAAAAACTTGAAACTTGTCTTAATGAATACTGTATAAATGAATATAAAACTTAGAGACCAAGTTGGTTGCTAAAATTAATTATAAACCGCTTTATATGTTATTGAATAATGTTAAAGCTTTATTTAATATGCTTGCAAGGAGAATTTTAACAAAACGTTAACAGCTAACATTTTATATATATGCGTAACTTTACAGTCTGTTTGACTGTGTCACTTTTTTACATCTGACAGTCAACCAATCAGTGGACGAGTTCGCGATAACAGTAGAGCCCATATTTAGAGGACCAACTGCGGATCTAATTGGTTAAAGCTTATTTTAAATACAGAAATATATAGGAAAAGGTTGTTGGAAAACAGTCAAAATGTCTTCCAACCTTGTTCAGTTTGTGCCATTTTCATCGGCCGTCGAAGCTCCATTTTGGCATACTTTATCCACGCGCAAAATTGACCTATATAAATTAGACGATACATCACAAAGCATTTTAGGGTACTATTCTGTTGGTTACTCTATACGATCGCAGCATGATACCGAAACCAACATTACCATGCCAGCTCGCCTATATCTCGGGACTGGGGCTTTTGATACTGAAGCCACCTCGTTTTCTCAGTAAGTCTAAAATATCAAATTACTGAATGTGACTTTCTTATTAGTTACGTATCAGACGCGTAATTTTGTTCTAAACCATAATTACTGCGCAGTCTACCACCTTTCACTTATCCTTCGCCTGGTGCAATAAAGAATACAAATACTATCGAAGAATTCAAAACACTTGATAAAAATGCTTTGTTTAAGGAAACAGCTGAACAAGTAAGACTTAATATATGTCACGATATTTCCCTAAAGAGTTCATTTTGTGTTTATTCACAAAAATATCAACCATTTTATTTATTCTTGTTAAATTTGGTAAATAGATTTGGCAAGATATCATTTCTGGTGCTGCTGTGAAAGATCCTTACCTTCTTACACGGTTTATTCTTGTCACCTTTGCCGATTTGAAAAAATACAAATATCATTATTGGTTCGGGTTTCCTGCATTACTCACTGAACCACCATGGGTTATTGTAAATAATGATGTCAAAGGCATTGATGAAGTATGGGACAGTACAGAGGTCAGTTAATATACTGGATTATTTATTAGATTTTTATTGCATTTTTTTATTTTTTATCACTTTTACCACTTACTGCGGTTTTTTCTATAGATCAAAGCTTTGAGAGAAAATTATGATAAATTCAGGCAAACACAATCCGGCTCTTGTACAGGATTCTTTCTTGTTAAACAGCTTAGCAACAAAGAAATAGCTATTGGTAGTTTGTCGGAATGGGACACATTTTTCGATGGATGCAATGACGAAGAGGTACTGTGGATTATATATATATATATTTATTTTATTTATTTATGCAAAATTCGAAATTTTTTTTATATCATATGTCATTGCATCAAATTAGAGAATAGTAGGGTTTGCGGATCCATCAAGTTTACCTACCAATCCTGGGTGGCCTCTTCGAAACTTTTTAGTATTGCTGAAACGTCATTGGAATGTGCACAAAATCAAAGTGATATGTTATAGAGAAATTCCAAGTAAAAAAGATATAATAAACAGCCGCATTTTGACCATAGAGATCCCTGACACGACGATAATTCCTGGTGAGCAATGCTTATGATTTTCAATCATAAATATAAAAATTTTCAATTAATTTAATAGAAATTCTTAATTATAATGATTATTAGATGAATGCCCAAAAGCTGTAGGATGGGAAAAAAACATGTCGGGTAAACTTGGTCCACGCACAGTCGATCTTGCTCATATGATGGATCCAATAAAGTTTGTGAATTAATTTTCATTGCGACCTTTTTATTTACAATTCATTGATTCAATTTATCTTCTTTTTTTTTTTTCTATATGCCACTATGTTTAATTAAACCATAATAGGCTCTCTGATACTTCTGTTGATCTAAATTTAAAATTAATGCGATGGCGTATTGTTCCAGATTTACAATTAGAAAAAATCAGAGATACAAAATGTCTGTTACTTGGCGCTGGAACTCTTGGTTGTAATGTCGCCAAGTGTTTGTTGGTAATTGAACAATATTTATCTGAATTTATTTTTTTAACATGACACCAGCAGCTACGGCTAATCTGGTAGCGTTTATTAGGGATGGGGTGTTCGACATATAACTTTTGTCGATAACGCGCGTGTTTCTTTTTCCAATCCTGTCAGACAATCATTGTTCTTTTTTGAAGATTGTTTAGAAGGTGGTAAGCCAAAGGCACGTGCAGCCGCTGAAAATTTGAAAAAAATACACCCTAGTGTTGTACGTATGACTTAATAAATGTTAGCTAATGAACTTCTAATATCATAGTTATACCACAAAAATAAATTATATAATTATTTACGTTAGGTAAGCGAGGGCCATGAAATGAGTATTCCAATGCCAGGTCATCCCATCACTTCAGAGTCACAAGTCAAAGCCGATGTGGAAAAGCTCACTCGGCTTATCGAATCACATGATGTCATATTTTTATTAATGGATAGCAGGGAGAGTCGATGGTTACCCACGTTATTAGGTGCAAATATGCGTAAGGTTTGTAGTTTAACTGAATTATTAAATCATTTAATTATTGTACACGCGATATATTTGTATCGAGCGTTTTTATATCGGAATATATCTAATATTTTATTTTATCGTAGCTCGTTATAAATGCTGCCTTAGGGTTTGATACCTATGTGGTAATGCGACATGGTGTAAAAGATGATTCAGAGTGTCAAACAACTGACTCTTCTGATAAAACAATGCCATCAGTGAAACAGCTGGGTTGCTATTTCTGTAACGATGTAGTAGCACCAACAGATTCTCTCAAGGATCGTACCCTTGACCAGCAATGTACAGTAACTCGACCTGGTTTATCTGCCATTGCTTCTGCATATGCTGTCGAATTGATGGTATCCGTCCTGCATCATGAAAAAGGGTATTGTATATTTATATTTCGTAATTAATTGATAAAATAAAATTAGTTAACAAATATTTGTCATCGTATTGACAGACCGGCCGCCCCTGCTGATACAAACGCCGAGCCTACATCTCACTCCGAGCTTAGTGCTTCATCACCTTTGGGAATTATACCGCATCAAATGCGAGGATTTTTAACTCATTTTAATAATATGATTATTGTGGGGCAAGCTTATGAACGTTGCACGGCTTGCTCGGAAGTGGTGTTGAATGAATATAATACAAAGGGATTTGAATTTTTGAAACGTGTTTTTGATTCTCCTGCTTGTTTGGAAGAAATAACTGGGTTAACAAAACTGCATCAAGAAAGTGAAGTAGCTGGCGATTTTGATTGGGATGAAGATGATACTGAATTATAATTATATAATTTATTTAATTTGTTTATGCTACGTTAAAATAACTAAATACGATATCTGATAAGTTATCATAATTTTTATTATATATATTTATTATTACTAAATTTGCAATATTTCGTCCTAAGAATACTATGTATCTAGTATGCTATATTATTTGTTATTTTCCTTTTCGAACGCATACATAAATCAATAAAGTCCGGCTTTTCGAATTATAAAGTTAAAAAAAAAAATTTATTATTAATAATTTTTGATGCACCTTCAAATTATTTTCGCTCTAATTTATGAAAAATGATGACTTTAAAGTACACATATACGATTGTTATAATTAAGCATAATGATGACCAAAGTTATCGAGATCTATTTAATCATCAGTTAACCCATTGAAGTAGATATTTTTTTGTCGCGTTTTTCTGATTGACCAATCAAATCTCGAGATCGTGTATAAAAATCAAAACAACCGTATTTTTTGTCAAAAAATCGCCTGTAATTCTAAGTTTTTTTATGAAATTATCTTTTACGTTTAATAAAAAGGTTTCTTGCAGAAGTTTTGTTAATTAATTGTCCTCTAATCCTAGTCTAGATTCTAACTAAGGCCAGGATGTAGCATTCATATTGCACTATGTTTTTTAATTAATAAAAATGAATGTATTCACGTTACACCTTGCCTCGTGATTTGATTGGTCGATCAAGGAGACAAAATGTAACGAGGGCAACGACGATAAATACGCAGTCTTTTATTTTTTAGTTACGCGATCATACTATCATGAGTACAAACGGATTTTCTCGCGAACCTTTCGAAGAGAGTGGACTTTCCCTCTATGGTACGCGAATGAACACCACGTTGAATTGATTAAAAATAACTTGAGAGTCTCATAATTGTTCCATTTTCAGAGGCGATTGTTGATCAAGGCGACGCTATGGACAGAGTCGCCTCAGATTGGGTAAACATGTATAAAGAAGAAAATGATCATACCAACTCACTATTGGTGTTGGTTAATTTCATCATTCGGGTTCGTAATTGTGCACGCATCTAGTTTGTCATAGAACTTTAACTTGGAACACAAGCATATTATTAAACAAAAAAATTTTTACTACAAATATATGCCAGTCTTGTGGATGTTCTGAAATTATAGCGAGGGAGGGTTTTGAAGATGATGATGCTATACCTCAAGTCCTTGAAGAGTTACAAGATGCTTTCAAAAAAGTAAATTGCATCCTAGCTAATTTCATTCTTAAGTTTATTCTTGAACTTTAATTTTTTTAACCTATTTCAAAATTAGGAACTTGTGGCTGATTATCCATTAATTTCAAAATCCAGAGAATTCAGAAAATTTAGAAAGAATTTTTTAACGTTTTTTAGACAGCTTATAGACCATGTAAAACATGATGTATTATATGACGGTGTATTTTTTGAAACCATTCAAATATGGGTAGTTCCTATGTCAAGGTGGGCTAAGCCTCATAGACTTATAATTCAATATTTTTCAAATTAATATCATTTCTGTACCTAATTTGTTATTATATTTATTTTATATAATTACTTTATATCATTAGCTCCTCTTTCCGTCCTTTCAGACATACAGCAACTATCATTGCTCTTCATCTTTTTAGCTGTCTTTGTGAGCTTGCTCAAGAAGTTCATAATTCGTGGACCATTGCATCTCGTCAATTGAGTGTTGAGAAAAGAACCAAGTCACCTCGAAATTCTAAAAATATGGACAGAATTAATGAGTTACAGTCGAAAACTCAGGATTTGGATAAAAAAAAAAGACAATTAGATGTGTATTTTGAGGATCTTTTCGACAGGTAACACTCTAACTCACATTACATCCATTGATTATTTTAATGTAGTTATTATTATCTATATCTGATTATTATGTTTTACCTCTTAGTGTATTTGTTCACCGTTATCGAGACGTTGAAGCAATAATTCGAGCAGAATGTATAAAAGAGTTGGGTATATGGGTCTTTAAGTATCCTAGTCGATTTCTGGATGATACAAATATAAGATATTTAGGCTGGCAGTTGTCTGATAAGGTGAGAGTAATATTTATAATTCTTGATAATATATGTGCTTTGATATGATGATTGACAAATTTTTATTACAAGTCCCCAATAGTGCGGTTAGAGTCACTAAAAGTCTTAGAACAACTTTATATTAATGAAACATTAGTAACCGGTTTGCGGAATTTTACTTCACGGTTCAAACCTAGATTGTTGGAAATGGCTCTAAGGGAAATAGATATGAATGTTCGCATAGCCAGCATTCAAATGCTTACTACAATTCATAAAGTTGGAATGCTGGATACTGAAGATTGTGATCAGTTGTCACTTCTTATATATTATGATATAACAAGAATAAGAAAAGCAATCGCACCTTTCGTGAAAGAGACCCTCGAGCAAGATTTTATACGGGAAAAAATGTCAAAAGTTCAAACTTTTTTAGCAACTAGTGGTGGTACTAAACGAAAACGTGTAAATGGTAGTGGTAATTCGATGTACACTGCAAAAAAAGAGTGGGTTGAGTTCAAATGTTTGGCGGAATTTTTGGTTAAGTACGCCAAAGTTATAGATGATGCACAAAAAGAAGATAGAATGGACGATGAAATGGAAGAAGAAGAAGAATTTGAAGATGGTATTCTAACACAAAGTCTTGGTGATGTGGAGAATAGTAGAATAAGTTTGGCCATTCAAGATCTTTGGACAGAACTGGATCTTTTACATCAATGGCAAAAATTAGCAGATTATCTTTCTAAAGATCATTCTATAATAAACCAAAGTCGAACACCTAAGGGTGGTGGTATTAGCGCTGATACTATTGAAGAGTGTTATCGTCTAAGCGAACAGGAAGAATCCGTGTTAATACAAGTTTTTGTCAAATGTTTACAATTAACTCTTTCAGACTATGCATCTAAAGACAAAAAGAAGGTTTGTTTTTTTATTATTCACATTGTAATCAGTGTTTAAACTTCAATTTTGTTTAAATATGCGGAAAAGTTTGATAATTTTCGTAAACCTAATAAATTTTCAAAAAAAAGGATGCGTGACATGTATGGAATATAATAAAATCCACAGATTTGAAGAAAATTTTACTTGCGGAATTAATTTTCCAATTTGCGCACCCCAGATTCTGCATATATTTTAAACACTGATCGTAATTTTCCCAACATTATTAATATATTGAATTAATTAATTTCTTAGGTGGAAAATCATATCGATGAAACGCGTGACGAAATTTCAAGGAATATGGTGACAATTTTACCAAAACTTTTGACAAAATATGCACCTGACGCGGGTCGAATAGCTGAGGTGCTACGGATACCTTTATTGATGAATATGGACGTATATTCCGATCTGCGTATTGACAAGGTTAGAATATTTATTGCAGACCTTCAATCTCTCTAAAAAGCAGCAATTGATGGTCGTTCTTTATTTTAATAGGCCTATGAGGTACTTGTTGAAGATATAGTGAAACTTTATCTCAAACACACACATCCAGTTGTTCTTTCTCATGCTGCCGCAACATTTCAACATATGAAACAATATAAAAATTTCGCATCAATGACAGAGACAAGACTTGGTGAATTACAGGAAGAAGTAATCAAGACATTCCTCGGTGAATGTGAAAATAAGGTATATTGCATATTTCAATAATCTGCTATTAAAAAGAGAAACTAATCTTTTAATTTACAATTAAGACTAAAGAGATATCGACGATGGATCTTACTAGCGATCAAGTCCATTCACTATGTGTAGCGCTGAGTCGCTTAGAACAATTAATTACAGTTATGAATTTTGTTGACGCTGTAGAGGTATGCGATGAGAATAACCAGAGCGTTTATAATTGCATTATACGGTTAGTCAGAAGAGGATTGCTGGGAAATGTAGAAGAAGAAAAGGTATTGTGTTTTTTCAATGTGGTACTTAAAATTCGTTATTGAATTATTCAATTAATATAATAAATTCTTTTTTGTATCAGATCGTGTTATCGACAATTAATTTTCTTTGGTACTATATCTTATGGAAAGTCGCAAACATTTCTCCAAACGAAGCAGCTGTAGAAGATATATCCCTTGATGTATTAAACGATCTAATCGGAAAAAGAGATCAAATTCGACAGACATTATGTGAAGTTGGTATATCATATGGATCTCAAGCATTACCTTGTGCTAAATCAACGGTATTATATAAATGCATTATTTGATTTTACGGTCTTTCTCTTTTCATGTTACTACATTTCATTTATGTATTACTACCAGGCATTCAGAACGATCGGTAACATATATTGGCTATTTGCAAGCGATATATTTCACCATTCGAACGGTACAAACCTTTCCGAATTAAAGCTACCTTGTCAATCGGAACTGCAAGATAGAATTGCAGATTTTGTTGAAGAAGAAATTGCGAGCTTCAGGGAATCTTATACTGAAGCAGAATCAAAACTTGAACAAGAAATAAGAAAAGAGGAAGAAGAAGAAGAAACAAGTGAAGATGGTGAAAAGCCTGTAAAAAGATGTATGTTATTTTATACTTTGATAATTTTCAGAAACATAAGTCTTAATATTATTTTTCAATTTTTATTTTATTAGCGAGAAACGTAGAGATGTTTATTAATCCTGAAGAAAAAATACGAATTATGGACATTATTGGTACCCTCCTTCGGGGTGTCAGAGGCGGCTGGCTTAACGTCTCGCATGCAGCAGTTGTTATTTGTAATTACGGAACCATTGGGTGTGATCTTGATGATGTGATCAAAAAACTTCTACTAGAATTTAAAGAGAGAATATCATCAGGAGATGATGCCAAATTATTCGCATCCGTTTGTATGAAATCACTGAGAAAGGTACGCCATTGAAATCTTCAAATGTTCAACATTCTCATCTATTACTAAATTCATACACGCATTTTTTATGTTTACAGTCTCAGTTTTTATACGTGGATGGGAAAGTTAGAACAATGAATGCAACTATGTCGCTTGCTCGCATATGTGCTAATACACTACAGTTACGAGATACTTCAGATAAATCATCCCATAAGGATATGGACCATGTTGTAGAGTTACATAGTTCTGGGATTCAGCATATTTGTTCGTTGATAAATGCATATCAGATTTTAAATGATGCTGAGGGTAAAGAATGCTTTGTAAGATCTATTCAGTTCTTTAAGATTCTGTCTAGGTTATTTGGCGGAATGACTTGTAATGATGCGCAAAAAATGTAAGTACTAATTCGGATTTATCAGATTGATGAAAAACTTGGCTTGAAAATATTTATAGATATAATTTCTGCTTTAGTGAGTCTATACTTAAAGAAGAATTCGAAAAGAATAAAATACAAGTAGTCGAATCAGAGAAGTTATGGGAACCTTATTGTTTATACATACAAAAAATAAATAATATTTTGGCCAAAGGTGGTGCCAGAAAAGGTAATACTATTATCATTATAACTGAACTTTTGAAATAAAGTATTGGCTGCTTATTCGACTAATACTCTCAATTTTAGAACAAACGGTTAGCGAGTCAAGTAAAAAACGCACCGTAAATAATAAAAAGAGGCGACGAACGTCAGATAGTCGACGTAATACAAAGGATTATCATGTTGATTCAAATTCTGAAAATCAAGAAAATAACGAAGGGTTTGCAACTTCAACTGTATGCAAACCGAGGAGTAGTAATATTACACAGTCATTTGGTGATGAGGATGTCAATAATTCTTATGCTAACAGTGAGAGTTCGTCGCCTAGTTTGAAGAGGTCAACACCCATTAATGACATTGAAATAACGAAATCACCTGCAAAAAAGAGAAAATCTCAACCTAAGAAAAGAACAATTGTAGAAATGGAAGAGGCTAGTAATGAAGAAAAGCCAGAAAACGATGGATCAGATAGCGATGGAAGCTATCAGAGTTTATCTGATGTAAGAACAAGTAGGGTTGGTAAAGTCCTTAGGTCCGGGACTTTAAAACCTGGTCTTTAATCCTGGTCTTTAAAGACCAAGTCCAAATTAAGGACCTAGGGTCCTTAGGTCTTTAAAAAGTCCCAATATACAAATTTATAATTGCATAATTCTGGACAGCCTAATCAATATATATACAGTATAATTTCAATAAAGTTTTAAATGCATAGTTTAAGATTATAATCATTTATTTAATGTATATAGTTTACATAATATTGTTATTACACATTCTAACGCTAATAGGTAAATGTCAATATGTACATTGTGAAGGGGTAACCAGGACTGGACTTTACCATCCCTAACAACAAGGAGAAGGTCGAGACGATGAACTATTAGATAACTAAAAAAAAAAATCAGCTAATCTTCGACCTGGTTGGTCGATTTTCTTCAAAATCGGCTGGTCGATTTGAATATAAATAAATATACCATTCGATATAATGAATTTGAGTGTTACTTGAGCTTAATTATATGACGAGCGATACCTGTTATACGGTGCCTAGCTGTCATATGCAAGTAATGACGTGATTTTTCATTATTGTAAGTTAGAAAAATAACAATTAGACTGGAGCCAAATAAAATATGCGTGATTTAAAATTGGATAATTAATATGCGTGTTAATTGGAAATTTTTGTTAAGGTTTGTTAAGATAAATTCAATTAGTTTAAAAAGAATTATTACGTATCATTAGTTTGTTTTTAATTATATATATTAATTAGTTTAATTATTTGTAAATTAATATATTTTAATAAAATAGTAAATATTATTTAAGTTATATATGTACAATATATAGTAGCTAAGGTTTCTAGATTCAGTTCAGTTTAATAAAAGTTTAGGTTTATTTTTTGAACATGAACTAAATATGAACTTAAAATTTTTAGGGGATTATTTTTTATACCCCCTAATTTATTAACTGTACCCCTGCAGATTTACCTTTTTTTTAAACTTTGAGCAAATATATCTTGGTAACTACTAGGCCAAATTTTGACAAACGTTTTTTCTTTGAATTCTATAAGTTTATAGAATTCAAACAAAAAAAAGTTCATCGAATTTGGCCCAGTTGTTGCTGAGATATCATTGCTCAAAGTTTGAAAAAATCAAAACAAACTATGCAAAATTTTTTTAAACTTTGAGTGAAGATATCTTTGCAACTACTGGGCCAAATTCAATGAATTTTTTTTTTTATATGAATTCTACGAATCTGTAGAATGCAAATAAAAAAAACTTCATCGAAATTGACTTGGTGTGATATCTTCGCTCAAAGTTTTAAAAAAACCCAAAACGTATATCAAAAAAGCTGCGCCAAAATTTCTCAAACTTTGAGCGAGGATATCTCGACAACCACCAAGCCAATTTCGATGAATTTTTTTTTATTTGAATTCTACGAATCAGTAGAATGCAAATAGAAAATTTATCGAATTTGGCTTGGTGGGTATCGGGGTATCTTTGCTCAAAGTTTTAAAAAAAATTCAAAACAAAAGCTAGAAACAAAAATTTCTCAAACTTTGAGCGAATATATCTCGACACCCACCAAGCCAAATTCGATGAATTTTTTTTTATTTGCATACTACAGATTCGTAGAATTTAAATAAAAAAAAATTCATCAAATTCGGCCCAGTAGTTGCAAAGATAGCTTCGCTCAAAGTTTGAGAAAAATTTTGGCGCAGCTATTGTTTTGATATACGTTTTGAGTTTTTTTTTGACAACCACCATGTCAATTTCGATGAATTTTTTTTTATTTGTATTCTACTGATTCGTAGAATTCAAATAAAAAAAAATTCATCGAAATTAGCTTGGTGGTTGTCAAGATATCTTCGCTCAAAGTTTGAGAAAATTTTGGCGCAGCTTTTTTGATATACGTTTTGGGTTTTTTAAAAACTTTGAGCGAAGATATCGCAACAACCACCAAGCCAATTTTGATGAATTTTTTTTCTTTTGCATTCTACAGATTCGTAGAATTCATATAAAAAAAATTCATCGAATTTGGCCCAGTAGTTGCAAAGATATCTTCGCTCAAAGTTTAAAAAATTTTGCTTAGTTTGTTTTGATAGACGTTTTGATTTTTTTCAAACTTTGAGCAATGATATCTTAGCAACTACTGGGCCAAATTCGATAAATTTTTTTTTGTTTGAATTCTACAAATCTATAGAATTCAAAAAAAAAAAGAAAAGTTTGTCAAATTTGGCCTGGTAGTTACCAAGATATCTTTGCTCAAAATTTAAAAAAAAAGCTAAATCTGCAGGGGGGTGGCATTAGCAAATTTGGGGTGGCAATATCAATTCTCTAAATTTAAGGTTATAAAAAAAGATCCAATTCCATAAATCCACCTATATGCTTTGTAATATTTATACTTTTAACTCCAAATATCTTAAGAAGCTAACAGAAAAAAGTTCATATATACCCCGCCTCCTTCCCTCCTCTACCCCCTTCTCTTTTACCCCCTATACCCCCTCTTTACCCCTTTATCTCTTTTACTCTCAAGAACCCCTTTCTTGGAGATAAAAGAGGTAAAGGGGTAAAGAGGGGTATAGAGAGGGTAAAAGGGGTATAAAGGGGTAGAGAGGTGGGGTATATAAGAGCTCTTTTCTGTCAGCTCTCTAAAATCCACCAGGCCGATTTTGATAATCTAACCACCAGAAAAATCCCCATTACAACCAGGGCTTAAACTACAATAATTTGCCGGCCTGCATGTTATTGTTTAAAATATCCTTTTTGATACAGCAAACCAAATATTTGGTTCGTATTTAATTGCTATTATAGCAAATCAAATTTTAACATAGTATAGATCAAAAATAATACTTTTGATGGCCGGCAAAACAATATTGTAGTTTAAGCTCTGTTTACAACCTTAAAGCTTCAAAAAAAAGTTAGCTTATTAAAAACTTTTTTAATTTTTAAAAAACCAATTTTTTATATTAATTTAACTAAAAATAGAAAATTTTGTGTAAAAATGGTCCAAGTTAAATATCACCCCATATTTCTAAGCAAAAAAAAATTGTTACACAAGATGGACGCGATTAATATTTTATGCCTGCGTAAAATACTCTTGGTTTTCAATCAGGTTATAATAAAAAGTGACCAAGTCAGTCAAGCAATCCCGATATCTGATATTAAAATTTGAAGCATATTCTAATCGTTTTATTAACGTATTTCTTGATGAATTTGAAAATACGCGATTTTTTTTTTTGTTGAATACTAGGCAGACGTAATTTTCTCATAGTACCTTTATGTAATACTAAATTACTATTATACATGGAAGCTGACTTCTAATAAATTACTCTCTAAGTTCAATTAAAATATCACTATATGGTTGAACTTGTTTGACTTTAATTAGATTTTTTGTTGCGAGGCCTATTCACAATTAATAAAATCAATTAACGATGAATTATATGTTTATAATATATAAATATTATTTTACCTAAAATATTATAAAAGGCTTTAGCTGTTTCGGCACGTTTAACATGCTGAGCTATCATAATATCTTGAAATATAGCGCTTGATACTTCAGCTTTTTGCATCAAATCTTTTATAAATTCCAGAAAATTTAATTGTTCATTTTTGCTATTTATATTAGACTTTAAATCTGAATCACGATGTCTTCCTCTGGCAGATGAACCACTCATTGAACTATATTCCTCCAATTCTAGAAACATAATTATGAAAAAAAGTGAATTAGATTTTCATCAAGTTAAACAAAAAAAAATGTAAAAATGTAAGTAAATATACCTCCAAATATTTGAAAATCCGGAATTTCAATATTATCATCAAAAGGAGGAAAGTTTTCTGACATGGAAATGGATGGTCTCTGCAATCCTATGGAACTTGGTCTTTGGTGACCAACACTATTGTTAAAAATATTGTAAAATAAGTATTAAATATATGTCAAATTAAAATTTAAATTGTGTTTATATCAAATGAAATGTTTTAACATTTCTAATCACCTTCCAAGTTGTCCCGAAAATTCCAAAATATCGCGACTTATGTTTCCTGCTGATGAAGTGACATCAAAATCTACAGGCAAATTCAAAAGTAATTCTTAACAATGAAATACATATTTTAAGAATAAAGATAAATATTTCTGAAATTTTGGTTTTACCCAACAGATCTGGAACTTCTGTGCCAGTACTGTTTAACCCCGTAATTGCAGAATTGCTTTGACTGCCAGCTTTTCTTAAGCGTTCAAGTTCAATATCTTGTAAACTGCCATCTCTTTCACGCTAAATAGAATAGTAATAATTAATAGTAATAGTAAAAATAAACCTTTAGTTTGATTTAATCTTTATATTTAAAAAATGTAGAATACCTGGCGTGATCCACCAATGCCGATGTCCTCAACGTCAGCATATAAATCGTCAAATTCATCTAGATTAGTATCTTTATCATATAAAATAAATGTTTGAGATCATCATGATTAAAACAAAATTATTAGTATAAATCAGTTTACATTCTTACATTGAGGTATAAGAGCTGGCTGAGCTCTCCTTTGTTTAACAATGTCATCTAGATTATTTTGATAATGAAGAGAGATATTTAGAATATGTAAATAGTTAAAATAATTTATTGATTAAAATATACCTTGAAGCATTGGTGCACAATGCATGCTCCAAAATGTCGAGAGCTGTGAGGCCCTAACTGCATTATGAATGTCATTGAAGTTTATTTGGTAGAAAATGAAAGTTTTCAGTGCGTTAATAAAATTCTAATACTTGCGTGGTAGGCCTGGTGTATAAAGGGCTTGTCTCCATAGATCTTTATATTCTTGCATCTTTGCCTACCCATATATTAAACATATATTAAAACATATAAATGAATTAAGATAATAACATTTAGAATGGAGATGACAAACTTTATCTTTTGCAATTCTTTCACCCTCTTCTAAATCATTTACAATACCATCTCGCATAGCAATTATTTGTTCATTAGTCATTTCAGTATTTTCATCATACATATAATAAAGTCGTCGTCTTTTTTGTCGCCTTGGTTCAACTGAAGATTGTCTAGCATTGGTTTCAGGATCTGGTGCCTGTTGATCGTCATTAATTAGTTGTTGTAACACTTCTTGATCGTCGTCGTGAATTGTTTGTTGTACTTCTTGATCGTCATGAGTTGTTTGTTGTAGAGCTTCTTGCACGCTTTCTCTCTCTAAGTCCATTTGAACGTCTGCAGCTTGTTCATCATTCTGTTGATTATACTATAACAGCCCATATGCAAATATAAGCAAGTAATATATAATGAATGGTAGTTTTTAAGCTAAATTATATACCAAATCTTGATCTCCTGTATCAGGTTCCTTTTGACGTATCCGCCTCTTTTCTTTTTTATTTTCTTGAAGGCCAGCGTCATGTTCTTCTCTAACCCTTTTCATGATTTCATTCATATCCGAATTTAAAGGATCACGACCATTTTGTTGTTGATTCTCACCCCGCCCATCAGATCGAAGTTCAAATTCATGCAGACCACCTTCTTCATCAAAGTCAATTCTAATTCTATTACAAGTATTAATTTTCAAAGAGCTAAAATTAAAATAGTTTATGATAAAATAAACAATGAATATCATTTACCCGCCATCATCCATCATAAGTAAATCATCATTCATTCCAAATCCGGCATCAAATCCCCCGCTAAAACCACTAATAGAAGAAACCGAAAGATCCACATCACTGACTTCTGGAAGTGTAATTAATGATTGACGCGTAATATTTGATGATCCAGATGCTCTAGCGGGAGGATGTGTTGAGACTATGATAAAAATTAAGATAATGATTGAAAATATATCTAAAAACTATTTAAGTGAAATTATTTAAGTAAATTCTTTAACTAAAAAAAATTATTTTACCAATAGGCGACTGCTGTGTTCCGTTGATAGTCTCTTCAATATCAGGAACCTTTTAAATAACGTATTAATATAAATTTGTCTGCATGTAAATTGCATAGACAATTAAAGGTAGATATAATGTTTACCACACTAAAATCTTGTGGTTTATGTGAAAAAGTCATTTGAATTTCGAAAAATGGATCATCTTCTAAAGTAATCGCTTCAGGCCTTCGAACACGATTAATTAATTAATTTATATGATAATAAAAATGCTCCTTATTTTTATTATTTGGTATATATACCTTGCTTGTGGTACGACCATATCTACAGACTCACTCTGTAATTCAATTAAAGCTCTATGCAAACGATTCCATACACAATTTACATCGGCTATATTATTGTTGATTACTATTATTATTATTTTATTATAATATGTAGAATGAATTCATTTATTCGATAACTCACCATAATAAAAATGATATTGTTGATTATAAACTCTTGATATTCCAATCATAAGGTTGGAAGTTAAACGAAGGGCTAATGGTTCTGGTGGAGAAGTAACATATTCACTAAAGTTTTTAACAAAGTATCATCTTAATTATCAAATCAAAAACATATAATTCAATCGTTAGATAGTTCGAAATAATTTACCATGCCTTTACTAAATTTACAGAATTAACTTCTTTTTTTGATAATTTCCTAAGACTAGAACGAGATCCTAAAGTAGCCGCCAACCTAACATTTTATGATGTAAAAAATTATAAGAAATTAAAAGAAATCAAAAGATTGATTTTTGTTTATAATCGAATACTATATACTATATTATATTTAGCATACCAAATAATTCCAAAGCCACCTTTTTTACGTGTTAATATTTCTTTAGAGTAAAACATTTTTTCTTAATATCATAAATAATCTTTATATATTATAATTTAGAAAAAAGATTAACTATGGTTTTCCTTAAAAATTATCATTAATTGTAGCTGAGTCTTACCAAAATATTTTTTAAATATCTTGATATAATATTTTATTACCAAATAAAATAATTTAAATTTGTAAAATCATCAAGGAATATTAAAAAATTTTTTAGGAAAAGACGATATTGTTGATATAGATCGATTCTGCTTTATAGAATAAACTTTGGTAATAAATACGCGCAATCTAGTCGGATAGTTGTAATAAATCGTAAAGGATAAAAATATAAAAATACAAGGAGTTTTTTTTTTTCTTTGAAACCCTCAATTGTAAATTCGCGAATTTGCTTATATAATATTTTGTATTATATGCAAGCTAAATGTCATAATGATGGTAACAATTTAATCTCACTTTACGTAATATTAAAATGATGAGTCATTGTAATATGATATAATATCCAGTCTTTTGATAAAACAAACACGGCTTTCTTTTACAGTATTTAAAAATCGAAAAATTAAAAAAATTCCAATACATGCATACAATAATTAAATTAATTCTATCACATGCATACAATAATTAAATTAAATTAATTAAAAACTTTCAGCTTATCAAAGTCAAGAAGCTTGGTTTAGTATTAGGTTGGAAGTAAGCATTGCCTACAGTATCCGGGCACTAACCAAAATTTCAGAGTACAGAATGATGAGAATTCGATACGCTTACTGTTAGCTGTTAAAATTATTGCATTACTTACAAAAATCAGGTCCAAACAGTCAGGGATTACCACGCGAACATACAGTATTGCTTAATTGATAATGTTTGTTCTAGGTTCCAACGTTGTCAATAATCGAGGGTGTACGTCAGGGCTAAAACGACACATAGTAAATACCGGTCATTCAATAAGTGTCGTTTTTGATTCATATTATATTAAAATTTTATTACTCAAAAACGATACTTCAAACAATGGGCAGCGGCGCAGTAAATGGCTGCCGTATACTATGTGTCGTTTTAGCCCTGGTGTACGTACGTACGTATGTATAATTTTAATTGCAACCTCGATTATTGGCGACACTAGGATTTGATTTCCTTTTAATCTTAAATCATTATGCAAATATATCATGATCCGTTAACGATTAATATTTTCGCGATTTGAATATTTCATAACCCCAAGTTTCTCGTTAGAAATTCACGCTAGTGTCGAGCTTTACTAAATATATATTTAGAAAGAAGCTTTATTAAATCGTTAACAGTTCTAGAATCAAATCAATTCTAACCATTACGAGTTATGGTGATGCAAGGTAGTTTCATTTCTTCCGAAGAATTAGAAATATTTCTCCCGGCTAAATTATTTCGCGTTTGCAAAATATTTCGAATTTTAAAGTTTATATTTTATGGGTTAAGCCGAAATTTTTACCCTGGGCTCTATTACAGCTATTTTCCAGTTATTCCTGGGACAGCTAAAAAAAAATACCGATGATTGAATCGATAAGTTTTGGATACCAGTCAACAAATTATATTTAACCAGATAACTATGGTGGTTAATATTTTGCAGTGGATAAGTATAAAGTGTTTCAAGTACGTAAAAAAAAAAATCTCTATTATTTTATTACGTTTTGCACATTATTATTAATTCTCAAAAATAACCTTACCGTAAAATCTCGAAATAGCGGGCATGGGCGTTATTTCGAATCTTGGCCCGAATTAAGCTTAATTCGGGCCGAAAATTGTAATTTCACCCCTGCGCGTTATTTCAAGATTTAATCGGTATAAATTTAAAACTACTTTTAGAAATAAGGCAGATTGACATTTTTAAAAAATCAATACCAACTTATCTCTATGAACTTTGAAGCTATCTTGATGTTTTAATATTTAAAAGAAAGCTTATATTAAACTTTCTTTTGACTATTACTGTAAATCATTAAGATAGCCTCTAAATTCATAGAGATATGAACTATGAAAGTTGGTATTGATTTTTTTAAAATGTTTATTTCTATTGACGGCAGCCCAATTTGATAGATATGTCCAATATGGTGTCAATAGATCCATAATAATAGACTGTATTAATAGACTGTATGGAATAGACCACTCAAACAATAGATAATTACATGTAATGTCTATTAGTAGCGTAAACAAAGTAAAGTATATATATAATATAAAAGCTGTTTATTTATTTAAAAGAATATTTTATACGCGTAGTAGTTATGTGATGAGCCTTCATTAGTAAGTCGATTATCTTCATGCTCCAATTCATTTTAATATTGCTAGAATAGAGGTTTATAAAGCAAAATTAAGATCATACCTTTGTTATCATACCTTTTTTCCTGACTTTGCATGACAATACCATGCAGCCGTAACGAACAATACGAATGACAACACTGGTGACGAAAAAGAACATTTATATAAACGACACCAGCAACTATAGAAAAAAAAAAAGCTAAAAGGTGTGTTAATCTTAGCAATACAACAAACAAAGTATGATAAAACAGCACTGGCAGCGAAAACCAGTGACAGCAAGAATAGTAAATGAAAATACCGTAATACCAGTGACGAAATAAACTGAGACACCAGCGATGAATGATAAAAGTATTTTTTTAAAAACTCTTGTATAAAAAAGTTAATATATTTTAAAGATTAATAATATTTTATAAATAATAATTATTATATGCTTTCAATTTTAAATAAACTAAAATTGCTGATTCACATAAGAAGAGCAGTATTTCATATGCGCAAATTACTATTAAATTTATTATAATCATGAAATCTTCTTTTCCTCCATAGAAAACTATTTTTTTTATTATGCTAATATACTTTTATAAAAAATGTAGAGAAAACTCTTTTATATATAATATAAAAAAATTATTAAAATTGTTTAAGTAGATAAGAAAATATTTATATTTTTTTTATAACTATATAAAATTTTTAAAAGTGTAGAGGAAAAAAAAATTACATTCTTATATAAAAAACATAGTAAATTATACTTTCGTAATTTATAAAATCCTACCCTTCTTATCTGGATTGGTAATTAAATTACTTTTTATAAAAGCAAAATTTTTTTTGACTGTAACTTTGTTCTTTATAATACAGTAAGTATTACAAAAAATTGTTTAATAGTTTTTAGAAATATTGCTTTTATAAAAAAATTGAATATATATCATTTTATTGTTTTGTATAGTACAGTACAATAATAAATTAAATTTTATTAAATATTATATACTAGGATAACAGGAACTGTTATGTGTCCGAAGCAAAAATTTAAATTCTTATACTGTATATATATGAGTGCGGCAAGAGAAAATGTACATTCGAAAAATAGATGATTATGAATTTTATAGTAATCAGTGTACATTTTCTCTTGCCCGCACTCATATATAACAAATTAATAATAGTTACGAAAAATCACGTGGCGGACAGACGGACAAAATTTTGCTCAAGACTCTAGGTTTCTACACGTGATAAGTGTAACGTGAGCGGACAGACGGACAAATTTTGCTCAAAACTCTAGTATGTAACACGTGATTACCTATATATAGACGGACATTTTTCAACTTTTACATGTACTTGAGAGTCCTCGCTACGCTTCGGACAATTAAGATGTCTGCTATAAATTATCTAATTTTACTTTATATATTAATCTAAGTTTATAAAAAAAAATTTTATTAATTAAATAAATAGTTATCGCAATATTCTTACTCAAATTTAGCATAATTTTTATAGTTATTTATTTTAATTCTCTAAGTTCATATAATCAAATAAAAAAAAATTTTTTATTGATTTAATTAGATATAGTTATCAAGATATCCTCACTCAAAGTTTGGAAAAAAATAGTTTAAATTTCTTTAACTAAAATCGATGAAAATTTTTATTTAGTTCTCTAAGTTCATATAATTAAAATAAAAAAAAATTTCATCAATGTTAATTAGGTAGTTATCGAAAAAAATTATAATGTTATTATTGGGGATCGATTTCGTCCAATCAAAAACGGGATAGTTCAAGTAGAATAGATCCCAAATATCACGCGCGCACATTCATCGATATTCTCAGTACTCATAATCACTTATATAGAGGGTCGTGCACTCAACTTTAAGTCCTAGGCTTGGGACCGGGCAATCGCGTACGCATTAAGATGATGTGTATTATTGAGACGTTATTAGATATCTAAATCGTTAACATTCAATAAGTCAGGATGACGATAAAAGTTATGTTTTTATGCCAACTCGTTGGTTTAATATATTTTACATGCCATTTCTTATCAGTTACTAAAATCGTTAACCTACATAGTTAAGCCTAACACATATAATAATTAATTAATAACTTGGGCTAGGTGTTGTAAAAATGGACGAATTTAAAAGTAAAAACTTAATTTTCTCGATGATTATTCAATAAAATTTGATAATTATTATTTTTTTTATATTAATTCTATAAAATTATAAAATTAAAATAAAAAAAGAAAAAGTTTTTAATTATTATTTTTTTCATCAAATTCGTCACGTTTACAACACCTAGCCATTTTGTCTCAAATAATTCAAATCTATATTTGAATCTCAAACAAAAATTTCTTTTAGATTAAAAATTTATTCTAATTTTGCACAATTTCAAAGAAAACATTTTAGAAATTTGCAATGAGAATAAATTAAAATAATCATTTCAATGCTTTAACTTGTGGTAAATCTTTTCTCATAGCATAAGCATCTTCTCCATCCGCATAATATTTCTTTTCAACTTCATGAATTCTAATAAAAAAATAAATATCAAATAAATATCTTAGTAATATAGTACTTAAATTTCAATAGTAGATCAGACGATATAATTTTATGAAAGAATCTTGTATTACCTGAATTTCAATGTATCTTTGTATAGATGTAAAGCAGCACGATTACTTTTACGAACATGCAGAGAAACGTATTGAGAATTGAATACTTCTATCATGTTCTTTTCTATAAATAGAGAATTCGAAAGACGAATTAAAAAAACGACATTAAAATCAGTTTTAAACATAAACCAAGGTCATTATATTTTAATACATGACTTATCACAGAGTAAAAGTAACAACCACATACGAGCTTGAGTCATCAATTTTTCAGCAATACCCAATCTTCGATAAGTTCTCATAACTGAAAGAGAAGTTATATGACCATGTGGTGGTTCTTCTTCACGATCCTCTTCCCTTTAATAAATATAAATAAGATCGAATAAGGAATAATGAGTTGATGTACTTAAATTTAACATACATTTTAGCCAGAACATAACCAACAATTCTTCCTTTGTGATCTTCAGCTACAAAAGATAGTTGTGGCCATGATAACAAATGATAGAAATCTAAATAATAATTAAATAATATATAGTTGATGTAATTTGAAGTACAAAAATGCGAGATTGAATTTTTTTAAGAGAATCAGTACAGAATCAATAGATAAAAATCAAAAGAATTCTTCAAGAAATCTTCCAATGAACTTTTTTATTACTAACAATATTTCATTTGATAATTTTCGGGAAGGTTCATTATATTACAATTTTGCATTGCTAGCAAATCATCTGCCTGAATTTATAAAATCACATTTTTTTTATATTTGTATAATTATTGAATGTTTCTTGCTTGAAAAAAATATGTATGTAGGGGATCTCCGTACCGTAGCCTGTCTGATATTCATTTTTTATTGATTGGTAAAATGTGTAGAACAAAACTGTAACCATTTATATTTATATATGTATCAGTCACATGATTAATGTTATTTGTTACGTATTCGAAATGTGTGAAATGTGTTCAATGCTGGTTGGTGCCTTTTAAAAGTTTCAAAAGATGTATATAGTACAGTAGTAACGTATATAGTAATGAACCTTTATAAATAAAGCTCGTTTAATAACGACTAAATTTTTAATAATAATAATTTCACTCTAAGCCATTTGCACATTCATTTTTTTAATACTTTAGAATTAGAATTTAACAAAATGGTACGTAAAATATTTAGAGTTGAATCTGCAGATGTGTTAAAGCCTTGCTAATTACTATTATATATTTACTATTTTACTATTTCTGAAAATATTTATAGCCTGGAACTACAAATCCAAAAATTCGCGCAAAAAACCAAACATACCAATCAAACATCAACCACCGTGGAAATGTCAAAAGTTCTCTGGTACGTATTTAAAATATTTTATTTATTTGCATATATATGAACTATTTATTTTATGGAAGTTTTAAAGAGTCGTCAAACGTTAAAAGTATAGTTTTACTGATGTTAAATCTTTTTTTTTCACAATTTATAGAGAAAAGATAAAGATTACAAATATCCCGTTGGTTATTTCACACTGGGAATTTTTGTTTTCGTAGTTATTGGCTCGGCTATTTTTGAAATGCTAAAATTTGTTTAGATAACAACACTCAAGCATAATATTAAAATGTATAAGTTTCTTTTAGGGTTTCACCCTTTAATATTGTAATGTGGTTTTTTTTTCTTAATTAAATTTTGTATTTATAATAAGTCTCAACATCTACTTGTCCGAAATATTATGGCTTAGTTGTATAAGTTTTAGAACATATTTAGTCGCTTTTTTTATTGGTGTTTAATCTTTCATTTATAAATAAAGTTGAACTTGAAGGATTTTAACTACGAAAGTCGAAGACATAATTTCGACTATTGTCGGAAAGCGAAACTAAAAAAATTCAAAGTTGTTAAAAAATGTTGAAACTAAAATCAAAATTGAAAATAGCAAATTGTTAATAAAACGATTATTGAAATCGTTAAAATTTAAAGCTTTTAAACATATTAAACCAGCTTAAAATTAACAAATTGTTAACATTTCATTATCATTAGAATCTCAAATAAAATAGTAATTGAACGTTAAAAAAAAATGGTCCATACGAATTTGGCGTATATTAACGTTAATTCTAACGGTATATTTAATGCGATATGCAGCACTGCCACCATGTCGATTGTTATTAATTTCCCAAATGTGGCCCGAATATTAAGATTTACCAATTTAATAAGCCAGAAAACCGGGTATTGATCATGTAAAATTCTTGCTAATCAACAGATAAAAATGACTTCAACATGCTCAGAAAGAGCACCTGATAATGTGTACCGGTTGATATACCACGGCAGTTTTACTTTATTTTATAATAACGTAACGGTAATAGCTAATTTAATGTTAATAAATCATTTTTTTAAAATTTTATACGTAACGATGTAAAGCTTATTGGAGGCATGCAAATTTTATGATAAGCAAGCAAACTATTTCTTAGAACCTAATAAACAACTACCTTTGCCTATATCATTCTATTGAATTTTGAATATTAATTTGTAAATTGAGAACTGATATAAAAATTGAAAAGTCTGAACCTGCATTGATGGATAAGTTGACTATTTGGCATTTTCAACATAATTCTACTGTATATCAAGGATAAAATTCAGAGTGGTTAATTAAAATGCAGTCGTCATTAGTCCAGCGAAGAAAGTCTTTGTATAATAAATGAAAATATTAATTCAATTTCAATTAAAGTATGTTAAGAAAAAAAAAGAAACCAAGATACACAAATAGATATTTTGTTTTTTCTTTGCTTTATCAGTTTGTTAGACACCGTAACCAGCAAATGATAATTATGTTCTAAGGTTTCCTGCCGTAATAGGTTCAGTGAAGTTGGAAGGTTGCTGTAATGGGTGTAATGGTATAATGGTTGTAATAGGTGTAATGGTTGTAATAGGTGTAATGGTTGTAATGGTTGTAATAGGTGTAATGGCTATAATGAGTCTGGTCAAATCGAGTCAAGCAGGATTAATTGCTTATAAGCAAAGATAATAGATCAAATTATTTGTAACGATAAGGTATTTACGAAATTAAATGTATATAAACAAAGGCTTTACTTTACTTTTCAAAAATTTGCAGGCGTGGGTGACGCCTATAGAATTACTACACTTAATAATTCGATTGTTATTATCATAACTATATCGAACACTTATTTGTTACGGCAATTACAATCTACGTATCACAATGATTATGGCAACGACATATTACAACTTTTGGTACGTATACTGTAATTGTAATTAGGGTTGTAACCTAGATTGTAATTCGTAATGTCCCTTACGGCCGGCAACCTTAATATGTTCTAATATAGTTCATTTCGATTTTTCGATTCGGTTCAAAGTTAGCTTCATTAGGAAAATGCATATCGATAATACTGTAATGGCCGATATTGCAGTTAGATTTCCGGCGCTGTTCGATAGAAAGGGAAATTTTATATTAGGTTTTTGGCATTGCAGCAATGTGGCACTGAAGCATTATGGCCAGTACATTTGAATCCTATTTGGGGATTTCGGGCGGAAAATATACATAATTGCGGCTTGCGGCTTTTGTGGCAAAAATGTGGCACTTCCGTAACAACAGTGTTACAATTGGCGTCATGTTACACAAGATTTTTATAATAAACGCGTCATATAATCACATAAATTGTCAGTTGGCATTGAAACTTTACTTGTTTTGCGACATATGGGAGTCGGGTATTATGGCACATTTAAGAATCGCACATAGAAAAAAGCGTATTTCTTAACATCGTAAAAATTAAAAGAAAAATTGAACACGTGAATAACACGTTAACAATACCTGAACTTGAACATAATTCAGAAATTAGAACCATGCAATTTTTATATAATTCGAATCGCCAGATGAATAGAATGGTACTAATATAATTTGACTCTGAGTGCTGTTTAACGGGATGTAGCTGAAAAACTTAAGTCGCCAGATTACGCGCCCGCGCCAGAATCCCTTAAGTTATTTATAGAATCCAGCTCACTGATCATTTAAACTGATTTTTATAAATGTAATTTTAGATGTATATACGTACAAATACATGTGATAAACTTATGAACTACAACACTTACCGTGTGGCTGCGAGCATAATAAACATATAATCTTCGATATTTTTGATATTTTATCTTCACTTTCAGAATTCCTTTTATTTTACGTAAAACATTTAAGTTGCTCATGATAATTATACAGTAAGAAAAGTGATTTCAAGGAGCATAAATAATTTATTTTAATTTACTAAATCTAGAATTTGTCGATACGAACTTAAAAATAAAAACGGACGAATCTAGAATTTGTCGATACGAACCTAAAAATAAAAACGGATGAATCTAGAATTTGTCGATACGAACTTAAAAATAAAAAACGGATGCAATTACAATTTAACTGTAATGATAATAGCAATGAATATAATGCTAGATGATCGAGATGATGAAATAAAGAGTAAATGAATGAATTAACTATTTACATTAATTATTTGATGTATGATAACGTTCCTTATTTAATTATTTGATGTATGATAACGTTCCTTATTTAATAATTCCCGTTATAGTCATATTCCTTAAGCATTGCCCGCGTCTTTTTCTGAATTTGTTTGTATATTTACTCTATTCAGCAAATTTATTATATAGAATGTAAAAGCAATATACTCCTGGATAACGGTAAAGCTATTTATATATTAGACAGTTTCAATAATGTTTTTTTTAACTGATTATTATATACTGTTAATACTGTTAATACTGTTATTACTGTTAATACTGTTATTACTGTTATTACTGTTATTGCTGTTATTAATACGTATAATATTATCAGTTATATTACAGTCCACGTGACATAATATTTAGGTAAGTGATCATAGGTATTTCATGTTTGTTAGCTTCTGTCAAATGTTTTATCTTATGTTAGAAGTCTGTCAAAAGTTTTATCTTCTGTCAGAAGTTTTATCTTTTATCAGAAGTTTTATCTTCTATCAGATGTTTTATCAGATGTTTTATCTTCTATCAGTTTTATCTTCTGTCAGATATATTTGGGCTTGTCACTTCAGATGCATGTAGTATACCCGCTCGGAATTATTGCTTAATACATGCAAGAAAGATCTTCAGGCAGGTGGCTGGGTATCACAATAATTTGAAAAAAAAGATAAATATAGTAGAAAAATTTCTTATGCTACTTATTATTGGTAGAAAAATTTTTATAATTTATATTATAGGTTATTTTAAACAAAAGCTCAAAATGTCTTAGCTTTTACGGCGTGCGATATTATTTTATGGTATACAATGCTAAATACACATTCACAATAAACATTCACAATAAACATTCAAACATTCATAATAAACATTAATAACAATAAACATTAACAATAAAACGTTCACGATTTTCATCATGCTGAAATATTTGAGTTAACCGCTCTGTTTATCTAACAAAAAATCATATTTAAACCAATGCAATCTGGTTTCATTAATGTCTTATCATCCTTACAATTATTTCTTCTGTACGTTATTTGTTTTAATTGTTTTAAAAATTGATGATAAGTTAATTACACTTATTTTTTTTTTATAGTTCACAATTAGATATGCACATATGTTGTACTGGTACCTACATATCACTAATGACCTCCTAGTTCCAAGTACGTATTTAATTCTATTGATTGGCTATATCGGAAATAATTCCGTTAGATGTTAAAAAAAGTAAATGCACACAATGTGCGTTTTTTTATTTTAACTTATTCGTTGGCCCTTGTTCTCTTTTTTGGGAATAAAATATTGGTTCTTTAATTTTCGTATTTATAATTATAATGTATTTATAATGTATTTATAATTTCCAATCTGGGATGCTGATCTTTGCAGCATTC